ACCTAAAAAAAAAAAAGAAAAAGAAAAGATCAATGATGTCATGCAGGGACCAGCCTCTCCACGATCCACGACGAGGGGTTAAACACGTGGAGAGGAGAGGAGAGCGGACGTCGATGTCAGCAAAAATCTTCCACGTGCGGGTGACAGAGAGCAGACGAGCCCGAGCCGCTTTCTGCATTTAATTTCTGCATCGGTGCTGCTTCGTCAAACGAAATCATTTACGCAATGCTTTCTACTCGTCAACCGTTTCGGTACATCATTTATACCATTTGATATGCCGTCCGGTATTAAATATTGGAAGTTCGAAATAATAGCGGTAAGAAGCAACTAAGCATTTCTTCCGTCGCGTTACTGCGTCTTTCGTCCGCACGAAAGACGCCGACGACAAACAAAGCCGCACCTCCGCAGAAACCGAAACGCATCCGACGGCGGTGCGTGCAGGGCTCATCCCGCATTCGGCGTGAACTCACCGAACTGATCGTAGGAGATGGAGGAAAGCTGCATGGGCTGCATCCCTCCCAGCACGCTCCCCATCTACGACGCAAACAAACCAATTCCCATTCCTTCACATGTGACGACGTATTATGCGTCGAGAGGGCCTCCCTCTTGCCCCCTGACACTTCCCCCCGCCCCCCCTTCCCCCTCCCGCACCCCCCCAACCCCCCTTCCGTCTGCCTGGTAGGATTTCCTCAGAAAATCATGACAGGTTCTCCCCTCGTTTACCTTCCGGTGATGCATTTTGCGTCGTACGAGACGGAAGCTCAACTTTTACAGGCAACCAGGTAAAATTTCCAGTTCCAGGCAAAGGTTTATTTATCGATTCAGAATCCCGGAGAAATAACTGACCGAAGACTGAAGGTACGCCGATTGAGCGGGACCCTGAGCCGCCGCGGGAGGCCCGGCCCCGTATCCCGACGGATGAGTCGTCGCCGCCGACGTCGTGAACGACATCCAATGCGGGTGCGGATGCGGCGGCGGACACGGCGAGAAGAAGGCACCCCTCGGATGTCCCGGGTGTCCCGGGTGCCCCCCTCCGAGGAACTCCCCCCCGCCGCCGAAGAGGCTCTTGGTGCAAGCGAAGCCCCCGCCACCCGTCAGGCGTCGGCGCGTTCGGCGTCGACGGGTGAAGTTGTTCTCGTCGAACATGTCCATGTGCTCCGGCGCTGCGAGAAGAGGGAAAACGTGGTGACGAATTCTCTCTGGGTGGTCCGAGAGTACGCGATATCGGTGACGACCTTCGCGTTTGTGGCCGTTTTCGACTTTGAAAAAAATCATACGACTCGACCGCGCGCGGTTCCGCCGAGGTCGAACCACACGGTCGACGGGTGGATATCCGTTCGCACGCGCGTCTCGACCGCCCTTTGTATCGTGACAGCTACAATCAACAAGAAGATCTTTGGGCTTGGAAAAACATGGCAGAGTGCCGTGAGCTTCTCATTCCGGTACTCGACTCCGGATCCGCAAAAACATATCACAACACGGACACGAAATGCGAAGAATACTCACGCAAACTACCTTCAAATAGTAAATTCAAATACACTAGCGGCCGCTACTCTGGCCGTCTAATGGGCGGAAATTTGAAAAATTTTACATAAAAATATGAAGCAGTTCGGTTCAGACCTACGTTTTTATGGCATAGCCTTGAAGGCCTAGCGTGTTAGGCCGCGGTTGGATGACAATCACTCACCACCGCTTTCGGCCTTTTTCAATTTTTATGGCCTAGTCCATGGTCCGGAATAGCAGAGCCTTGTAGGCCTGGCACTTTAGGCCGTAGATATCCTGGCTTATGACCTAGAATGGCATAGCATCGTAGGCCTCACGCGTTAGGAGTGAAAGCCACCACAACTTTCGGTCTCTTTCAATTAAAGTATTAGGTCGCCTTACGCAAAGATCCTCGCAACGCAATTCAATCGAGAAAAGACCAAAATCACGTCGACCTAGGGTTGCCACCTTTGAAATGAGCAAAATATGGACATATGGTCTGTGGACGTATGGACAAATATAAGAAGTATACTTGCATTTGTGGTTCTGCTGCAAATACTTACAGCCACCTTTAGCCAAAGTACCAATTGATGCGATAAGAGTGTGGCATGCTACTCTGGCTCGAAGAAAACTGGTTTTAGCTGCTATTAAGTTTTATTAACTAAAAAATCTTAACAAGTTTCAAGTATGGATGAAGCAGTGTCCATATTAAGACAAGTTTGCAGTATGGACATCGCATCTGAAATATGAACTGTCCATACTAATCATGAACGGGTGGCAACCCTACGTCGACCCGATGCGAAAAACTCACCGATGGTCCAGTAGTTGCCCTTCCGCTCCCCCCCGCCCTCGCGGGGGATCTTCACGAAGCAATCATTGAGGCTCAGATTGTGTCGGATGGAATTCTGCCAGCCCTTCTTCGTCTTCTCGTAGTAGGGAAAATTGTTCTTGATGTAGGAGTAGATCTCGGCGAGGGTCAGCTTCCCGTCGGCGCTCTCCTTGATGGCCTTGAAGATGAGGGCGACGTAGGAGTAAGGGGGCTTCTTGTCCGGGTTGGAGGAGTCCTGGTCGTCGGGCTTCTTGCGCTTCGAGGGGGGGCTGGAGGGGCCGGGGTGGGGGGTCGCGGGGGCGGTGGGGGCGGTGGGGGCGCTCGGCGGCGGGGTCGGGGGAGACAGCTCCAGCGTCGTCGTCGAGACCGGCTCCTCCTTCACCAGGGACATCGGTCCTTGGTAACATACTGGGTGGGAACGAGGGATCAGTCGTTGAAGCGAAACGAGGAAAAAAATGTCGGGAAAGGATGCAACGACCGAGTGTCGTGCGATAATATGGGACGCAGGTATGAAAAAAAATGAGGGTAAAAAAGAAGGGAAAAATATATTAATACGAAATTCACTCTCCTGCGAATGTTCGACTCGGTTTTCTCTTCGATTCGCACGGCATCAAAGTTCTAGCGTGAATCCTCGTTCCCGTCGAACGGGAAAGAGCCAGAACCCCGACAGGCCATTCGGGCGAAAAAATCTCATTAGACTCCACTCGACCCATCGGAGACTCACGATGAGAGTCGAGAGCTATTCCCTGCAAATATTTCTTACCTTCAACGAAGCGTTTCCACGCAATCGATGACCGGTAAGCCGACTCGACGCCGACTGAAAATACTTGCAATTTCACGAACCATCCGGAAACTGGGGGAAGCCGAAGTCGGTTTCCCCGAAAGGACATCGCGGTCGATTTCACGAGGGGTCCAGTGAAGGTCATTAAAGGACACGAGCGAGCTGGATTCCGCTCGTCCGATCCGATTCCGTTCTCGATTTTGCACGGAAGCGATCGAACGGTCTTTTGCACGTTTCCGCAGATTTTTTACATTCGCGAATCGCCGTTCTCGAAACGCGGAACGAAACTTCGACTGGCTCGCATCAAATAAACCCAAAGAGGATTTTTTATTTCCTTCCTTCGTGCGGCTTTTTCTTCTCCTCGATCGGCGCCACTTCGAGAATAAAATCGCGGAAGAGAAAAGCCATAGAAGCAACGTTGTTGCGTCGGAGAGACCAAGTAGAAACAGAGTTGCACGTGGAGTGAAAGGCGAGATTTGCAACGGAGCGTGTGCCATAACGCCCCTATCTCCGCGTCCGTGCGTGAGCCTTCGGGTACGTGAGAGGAGAGGCGGGTACACAATGGGCTTGAGGGGGGGGGGGGGAGGGGGGGGGAGGGGGCGATGTCATGATTCATAGATTCTCGCCGGTCCGTGACGAATTCCGACTCGGGTTTCCAGCGAACCCGTCTTTCTTTCTGGCTTTCTTTCTCGCTTTCTTTCTGTCTGAGAACGCGAGAGAGAGGCGGGACTCTCGCAGAGTTTGGCCTTCTTTTCATTTTCCCCGCCGCGACGATGAAGGACGATGAGGAACGAGTAAGGCCTCATCACGACGGAAAATCTCCAAGGCGATAAGAAAGTACCGAATTAGATGTTCCGTCTCGAGCGCGATTTCGCTTCCCGACATCGAGAGGCTTCTTCGGTGCACGATCGAGAAAAATTCTCCCCCCTTTCCGAGCTTCCTTTCTCCTCCGATCATAAAATGCACACTCGACACGAAAATCGAAGGAAGTCGGCAAACGGAAGCCACGTCGATGACTACTTAACGCACGATAGATCACTTAGCGACGAATTCCTCGTGCCATTCGGCGCGGAACGTCGTGCCATTCGCGAACTCCGAGGCGACCACGTGAGGTTGCGCCGATTCGCGAGGCGACTCCTTTTCGGCTAAATCCTTTGCGAAAATGTTTCCTCGACTTTTCCTATTTGCTTCTGACGTGCAGCTTCGTCAGGCACTTTTAAGATGCCGTTTGTTCGAGATCGCGCCGATTTTGGAAACCCAGACACGTTTTCCCGCTCGAGATCGTCCGGGGAATGGGTTCCGTCGGTCGCGGAAACACTTCATTCGCAAACAAATTTATGACTAAATGTAGGCGAAGTTCTGAAACCGCTCCACCTGCCCCCAGGAATTTGGTAAAGGAACAGAAACTAAATACGTAACGCCGTGAAACCAGAATCGATCCGAATCTTGATAACGTTACTAACGCCATTCAAATACAGCTCGTTCCCTGACAAGAGGCAGGGGTCGCCTGCGGCCTGTCGTCTTTGCATCATCACAAACCGTGGAGAGACCGTCAGCATTTAATCTGGCATCTGCGAGGGAAACCGGATCGACGTGCCGATCTGACTCGTGCTGAATTCAAAGTTCGATCAAATTCAGAAACGAGGTTTTTCCATTCGGCCCGCAGAGAGAGAAGCGGAAACGCCGTCGAGAGCGGATCGACTCAGTCGGGAAACAAAAAGTGCCGGGAATTCCTCCGGGTCCGCAGAGGATCGCGAGGAAACGGAGTTCCTCAGCCCCGTGCGAAAACCGTCACGGGAGTGACGAACGCGATCGTCGGGACGGACCGGCGATGCCGGCGAGACGCGAAGAGGCGAACGAGCCGATATGGAACGATCTTGCTTTTCCTCCAATCCATCTGGAATTTCTTACTCGTATTTTTCCCACCTATCGCAAGTGAGTCTTCGGTCGTGGGAGAGGGGAAAGGAAGGGAAAAGTTTATTTATTTTTCACCCGGGGACTCCCAACAAGACGTTCACCCTCGACAACTTCGGCCGAGCGCCGGAATTCGAGGCAGCCGAAGAGGATGCCCGGAAGGCACCGAGGACGCCTGGAAGGCACCGAGGACGGCCCACCGCCCGACCCGCACCGAGGGACCTCCTTCCCGGGGAGATCCAACGATTCGCGTCCGGCATTTCCCGGCTCTCGCAGGTCTTTCGACCTCCCGTTCCGACCGCTCCGGAGGTCTCGGCAGCGACGCGTTCGAACGAAAGGGGCATGCTCGAGAGGCCATTCCGTGAATTCCGCTTCGCTCTCTCTCCCGCAGATCAAGGGATTCAGAAACAACCGTATATTCCAATAAATGAAGGATGGGATCTCACAGAGGAGCCGTAAATTTTCCCGTTGCAACGGAAATGGGCATACTGACCGAGTCCCACGCAAACGAACGGGACCGGGCATCATGGATCATTTGGATCAGAGAGGTGGATCCGTAAGGGGGATCAGAGAGGTGGATCTGTGAGGGGGATCAGAGAGGTGGATCCGTGTATACCCGCAATCTGGGCCGGACACTCGAACAGACCCCGAACACCCGAGGGTTAATCGTGACATCACTCTTTCGCTCGAATCTGTTTTCGGCAGATATCAATATCTGCCCTTTTTTTGACATTCTGCACAGACGAATCTGCTGAAGCTAAAAAAGCCGAAGTCGAGCCCGTACTCGTCGACATCGCGTCCAGTACACGAACGAAATGCAAAACGCGAACCACGGAGGATCTTCGAAAGTCCATATTCCGCACGGAAGCGATTAGCATCGAGATAAGGACATGGTCTTTTTCTCTCTCGATGTCCTTATCTGGTTTTCGCCGGGCCATGTGCCGCCGATAAGGCCATGTGCCGCCGATAAGGACATCCATCCGTGCGTCTTCCAGCGAACTCGTCCGGCCGTATCGGACGCGTTATTCCAGCGTGACGACATTCGGCCTTCGTCGACCGAGAAACTCCCCGGATTGCGATTCCATGTAACTTTATCGGACTCGTCCTTGGCAGGAACTTGCAAGGAAGTCGTTTTCTTGCGAGTCTTATCGGGGCCGTTCGATGCGTCTCGAAGCCTCTCGACACGCGCAAAAAAAAGTGCCGAAGTTCATGCCGCAGAGAGCGAAGGCCGCGATTGCAGCCAAAAGTGGTTCGATACCTGCCACGAGACCTGTGCAAATTTCATCGTCGATATCGAGTGAGTTTGCTCCGGACGGAGTCGATCGGGAATGAATGCAATTTTTGTCAAATAAATGGCATTCCTGTCACGTCGAAATTTATCTCAAACAGCAGCGTACTCCTTCGCACGATTTTGTAATACGTGATCCATCGGCGAGATTGCAAAAACGTGGGACCACATTCATTTGCTTCCTCCTATTTTAGTTTTCAGCATTGAACTAGCACTTATACATCGCGAGACGTCACGATCAAGATTAGTCTCATGAAATGTCCAGAGATGAGATATTTCTTCGGTTATATTTCGTACGCTGGAGGCTTACCCTATTTCGCATGTAAACGATACGGAAGTTCCTTCCGGCACGATTTGGCTCCAAGTCATTATGACGATTTTTCTTCTGGTTGCAAATTATTTTTTACATTGCAAATTGGCAATAGTTTTCCCTTGATTTTCTTAAAGAGATCGTGCATTCGATTTCCTAAGACGAGTGAAGCAAAAAAAACAGACGTGTGTTGCCGATCCTCTTGTCGTCGTCGAAGAACGAGGGAAGTGCCGAGTTGCCGGCCGTCGATGCCACGGAGGAATTCGGCGGGCCGTTCAAGAAGAAGCTGTAGTCGGACGGGGAGGGGAAGAGACTCTGGAAGCCGGTCAGGCCGTCTTTGGGGCAGGTCCGGCCGTCTCCGACGGGGAGGGGGTCCTGGGAGAGAGGAACGGAATCGGTGAACACGGGGGAAAGGTGGGGGGGGGGGGGCTGGGATTTAAAAATGCGGTGGGGTTGTTTGCCTTCCATCGAGTCATAACATGGCAGGGACAAATCAAACCACCGAGACAGAAATTTACAAATAAAAAAATTTCTCTCTCAGAAACTCACCCGGGAGAAGTGAAGCATGCTGAGGGTCCCCCGGTAGACAAAACAAACTTCTCTAATCCCCACACACTCTCTTTCTCTTCCTCTCGCAACACACACATACGGCGTGTAAAGAAAAACTAAGCCCCAGGACCGACATTACCCCCACGCGAAGCCTAAAAGCCCGATAGATCCGCACAGGAATGCCTAAACATCCCGATTGGCCGTTGCGTAAGAGTCCCTGGGCAGGATCTCGTCTACGATTGGTGGAGGGGGAGGAGGGCTGGGGGATCCCGCGCGCTCTCATTGGTCCACGCGGCCCTCCTCGTTCGCCCTCCACGGACGGTTTGTGTTTCCTGTGTACATTCTGCGTCCACTAATGGGGAGTCATTACCGTGCCGTTTCTTCGCGGCTCTCTCTCGCCGTTAGGACCGAAACGGCGCCTCGCTAGGGCCAACATGGGAAGGGATATGTCGAGGGACTGCAGAAACAAATGGAGGGTTGCGTGTCTGTTTCCAGGTCTCTTAAGCCTTTCCTTCCCCTTCCCCTCACGTTCGGGAAAATAAGTTCCTC